TGATTTGGTTGGCTGGAAGCTAATATGATTATTTGTTTAGTTCATCCCTTCCACAGGTTGATAGCAACGGGACAGTAAGCTAACCTTGTCAGGAAGTGCCCGTCTGCCAAACACAGCCTCATGTTTGCATCTAACAGACAGAGCCAAAACCCCCTTATTGCTTGCAAAGGGCCGTTCCCTCGGAGTTAACTGCTCGAAGGATGCAACAGACCAGTGTGAAATTCTGAGGTCTTATTCCCCAAAAGAGCAAGGTGAACTCCTGTGCTGCCCGTGCTGCTGAGATGCTGAGCACAGATGAGTGTTGCTCAGTGCCTTGCAGGATCAGGTTTATAAATGTTTGCACCGCATCAGTTGAGAGCACTGCTATCCCTGTGCCTCTAATGAACTAACTGGTGATGCCCACGGGGGTTTAAAGGACTAGGTGCTGTGGCAGTTATCGTGTCTCCCTGGCGAACGTGGCATTCACTGCAGGTTCCAGACTCATCAGCAAAAATGCAGAACCCTCTCCTGGCACACTGGTGGGGTTTTGTGAGCTCTGCCTCTGCAGGTCATCATGTCCTGTCATTCTGCCACCATTTGCTTTTAGTCATCAAAAAGGAGTGAGAAAGAGGTAAATTAAAAGAGAGGGAATGAAAACTAGGAGAGCATCCTGGCAGATGAGAGAGCAGAGTCCTTCAGTGTGAACGTTCTGGATGACTGTTTTGTGGCTTTTGGTACAAAATGGCGGGTTTATGTGTCTTCTGTCTGGTAGTAAGAATGAGAAGAAGCTCTAGTAATTCTTTCTTTCCTCTGCTCTTTTGAAGCCTAATCTCTTGAGTCTGGTTCTATTGATTTGATGATCCATTTATTACACAGTCTAAAGTTTTAACTCTCAGGGGAAAATGACCAAAAGATGAAGTTATCTAGACCCAAAGCAAATTAAAGTGGGAATGAAAAACTTTTGAACTACAGATGTTTAAGCTTTAATGAAGATTCTGAAAGAAGACGTCATTCAGGCTATTACAAAAAAAGGAGATGTGGGGCAAGACCAGCATCTTGGAAGCAGAAGCCTTTCTATAGCATGTGCTATTAGTGAAGGCTCAGCAGCACCAGGTTTCAAAGGCCCCACAAAAACTCTTTTGAGTCATAGGTAAGAGTTTCCATTGACTTCAGAGGGCTGTGGATAGCACCCCACTTGCAGGCTGTTAATCCTTTGTGTTATCCCAGATCGCTGCTGTAGAAATGGTTGCAACAGACAACAACAGGGAGGCTTACAGCTCCCGAACAGCAGGCAGCAGGTGAGCTCTTATGAGTAAGATCCTATTTTCATGCAAATGTCCTTGGTAAGTGAGAATAAGGAACTGGAGAAAAAAATAGCTTGAACAGGAGATGCAAATAGAATTGTTTTTCAATTGAGTGTTTTCAGTGTATGCCTTTATGCCTCAGATAAGACATTTATTGCAAGGCAATGAATTAAAGTGAATCACTATTGATAGTAATGCCCTGTCATAATAAATCCAACTTCTTGGATATCCATCAAGAGGTATTCTCTTGAGTACTCACCGAATGCACTACGGTTCATAGATGGCCAGAGGGGAACTGGGGGCATGGACCATGTGGTATCATCACCATCTTCCTTCCACCAGCATCCCACTTTGTGAGATTTCATTAACTAAGTCATTAGCATTAATATAGCCAGTGTTAACCTGCTATGCTCTGGTAGTCTTCTGGGATAATGGGTTCCCTCTACCCGCGTGAATTATGATGGGAGACGATAGTGTGTTTTTAGTTCCTTGAGGCATTCCCAGCCTGCCACTGAGGAGACCTAAGTGTGGTGTTCCCTGTATGTATGGTATGAAATCTGGCCCCACTGAGCCAGTGGCAGAAGTCCCATTGCCTTTGAAACATCAGAATTTCTATAAAATGTAAACTCTTTTGTATCTTATTTCACAGTATTTACATACTGCCCTGGGAGACTTCGGGTCCCGCAGCCTGTGTGAGGCTTTTCAGTGGTATCATAATATGAAATGGTATTTACACGTAAACATTTCAATTTGTTTTGTGTTCTGAGCACAGGGAAATGCCGTGATATCTTTACATTTTCCACACTGTGGTGCCTGATCTACTAAGAATGACAGCATATTTCTGAGACATTTTGATCTGTTCGTGCATGTATGCATGCATATATTTGTCTTTTGGTGTGTGTTTGCTGGTGTGGTTTTATCTTTTAATGACATAAATAGGGATATATATGGTAAAGATACTGTATAGATATATATTAGAGTGGATTTTGAAGTGTTCACTTAAAGTATTTGCCAGAAATATTGTTCTCTTGCAGTAATGCATGTTGTAATGCTTTTCCTGCTTACAAAAGGGAAAAAAATGGAGGAAATTGTGTGTAAGTAAATATGATCCTCCTCACCCTTAAGTTTATCATTGTCAGTTGGTATAATAGGTTTCTCACCAAAGTTGAGGCAGATGAGTGGGCTCTGAATCCTGAAGCGAGGCAGACAGCATAGCTATTTTGTTTTTAGACTTCAAATGTTTTGAGGGCCTACATCAGACGGGGAGAAGTCCTGGGCTTTGATGGTTGTTAAATTACAGAGTGCATGTTTTGACAACCCAGCGGAGCCCAGGCTGGGTAGGAATTCATTACACCCAGGATGCAGAGCGGAGGGACGGCACAGCACGGGATGGCCGTAGCTCCCCGCCAGCAAGGACTGCAGCGGGTTTTTCCCGGCACCCAGCATCATGGTCTTTGGGTGGCTCTGCAGCTCGGTTACCGATGGCATGTCAGCTGGGGGTCAGTGGTGGCGGCAGGGGACCGCAGGCTGTGATTCATTGAGTGCTCCGTTAGGGATCTGTAGCTCACCGCTCTCAGCCAAGAGCAACACATTAGCTACATGACATACATTATGATAGTGCCAACAAAGTGGTCAATGCCTAACCGGGATATATTGCAGCCTGCGGAGTGGCTGAGGGCTGCAGCGTAGAACATATGGAGATTATTTCCTGAATTTATGCAGCACATGTTTTCCTATAAATTAAATTCAGAGAAAATGTGTATCATAATAGGGTGATGCTCACAACAGCCTTCCCTGTTATGAATTACAATGACCTCTCTCAGCTCGCTGGGTGCCCAGCGAAATGGCTTCATGCAGTTGGAACAATAGCATGTATGTGGTGTCAGGCTCTGACAGCCTGACCAAAAGGCTCTTGAACTAAATGCAGGGGCGCTTTTTTTTTTTTTTTTAATTCCCCCGTTGCTTCTCTTGTTCTTATTCTTCTCTCTAGAAGCTGCCCGGTTTCCTCCTGAAATGCTGAGTTGCCCAGAGGGTGGGTGGATGCTCCAGTGTCTGCTCCATGATTAACTGGGTGCTGCCCTTGATGGCAAAGGCAGCTCTGGACACGGTGGTGGCGCCACTTCATGGGTGAGGGTGGTGTGGGTTGCCAAAACAGCAAGATGGGGGTCCTTAGCCAGAACAATGAGCAAAGCAGCACATGTCCCTTCTGTGTCCTTGGACTGGGGATCCCAAGGCAAATATTTGATGTTCTGTTGCTTGGGGCTCAGACAAAATCATCTTGGCCTTTTCCTTGGGTGTGCTGAAGCAGCTGAAAGAAAAAGGTAGTAGGGACAGTCATTGTAACTACCTTCCTAAAGCATGAAAGATGAAGTTATGTTTCTTACAACTCTGTGTGTGTAATCTTTAGCAGAGGAAATGTGGGAGCTGCCATGTAGGAGCAAGATGGAAACTCATAATTGAAATATAAATATGTGCACGTGTGTCTGTGTGTATATATCTATGGGTACCAGACAGCAAAACAATCAAGGGTTTGTTTTGGGGCAGATCACTGTGGAGTCACTACAGACTGATAAGAGTGTTTTCAGCTGTGCTTAAGGGACTTGCTTTTTCATTTGCGGCTGATTACAGGCTAATAGGATTTCAGAGATTTCTGGGAGGGAACAGTTCACATCTCATTGCATTTGATTTTTTTTTTTTTTAATGTTTCATTTATCATACTACCCTTAGAATAAATTTTATTATTCTTCCTGTTTAGCTTCTTGAACTGAATTTTTCCCCTCGGTCCCTTGCTGCTGTCTAATAGGCAGTTTTCAAATCATTTTGGACTTTTGGAAAGATCTTATCAGCCTTTTGTGTGATAGAAGAGAATGGATCATTGGAATAAAAAAATAATGGTTTTAGGTTTAGTCCTCTCTTCTTTGTCTTTCAGTAATACATGCATGATGTGACTTCTCCTGTTATATTTTCTTAATGAAAACTAACAGTTTGAAAGCAACTCATGGGGACAACCAATACAGATGAATTTTATCAATACAGACTAATTCTGTGACTGACCAGCTCTGTTTAGTGGCAGTAGTAACCCTAGTTATTTTTCTTTAGCAGCTCACATGTTTGGGAACACACACTTAGCCTGTAAATATGGATTGAGGAGGAAAATGAATACGACAGTGTTCAAAGCACCCAAAAGCTTAGAAATAATGTTCTGCTGTGACTTTTCCAAACTGACATCTTGATGTTGGGATTATAAATGAAACCATTGTTCCAGCAAAGGCCAAGACTAATAGAAAGCCTTTATTACTAGTCCATTGGCTAATTCTGCTTGTCTAACCCCTTTGGATGGACACAGTGTCAGAAAACATACTCACAGAGGTTGCTTTGTGTGAGATTTGGCCTGCTGAGTGATTACATGTGGGCACAAAGATATCTCAATGACAAGTGTTCTTTGACTAAAATTTGTAAAGTCATTTTCTTT